GGCAGGGGAAGGATACTGCAAAATCTCCATTCCCTCCCCACCCCACTAACCTGCTTTCCAGCTCCGTTCTCCTGTGCAGGGCAACCAAAGAAGACCCAGCCAATCAGCTGGGACTCAATGGGAGGCGAAGAAGAGATGGGGGTGGGGCCAGTCAGAGGTGGCATTTGCTGGTTCTCCAAACTATTCAAAATTTCCGCTACCGGTTCTCCAGAACTGGTCAGAACCTGCTGAATGCCCACCTCTGATTTTACCACCATTAGAAGAACAAGAAGTCTCCTTAACCTGCACTTCCCTCAAACTGATGTCCTCCAGGTGATTTGGACTTCAGTTTCCCCAGGTTTCCTACCTGATAAGAATCCTGGAGTCTCTCACTGCTTACTCGTGGCTCATGGAATCAATGGAAAGCAACTTGGGGCCAACTGCAGACCAGTTGTGGTTTTGTTCTGCTCTCGGAATTTAAGTGGAGCACTACTGCAATGGACCTTTTTTTCCCCCTTTGGACTCCTCTTGAAGGCTGTTTGAGGTTGAAGACAGGACAGAGCAGTGAGATCTTCTCCCTTACTAGGAGGATCTTCAAAGTGCATCTAACTTGAGTCCCAAAGGTGCTTTTTTTTTTTTTTTCAAGAGGCAATTGGACGACCGCTTGTAGATCTCCTCACACCACAGAGTCAGCCATCAGGAGCAATAGACTGGCAGAACCAGAATCAGAACAATTAAGAATGAAGATATCCACAGCCCTCGCCAGTGCCCAAACACCACCCCCCTCTTCTAATCTGAACTAGACACCAGAAAGTCCTGTGGCCTCTTGAAAAAAGCACTTTTGGGACAACTATGACCTGGATGACTGAGAATCTCCATAGACATCGAATTTGGGTCTTACTTCATCGACATGGACCACGCCTACACTGGCCACATTGGACTCCTAAGCACATCCAAGAAAGTTTGGGGCAATAATATTTGAGAACACTGAAAGCCATACTTTTAAAGATGGGGAATATGAAGGTAGGGTTAGTTCATGTTGTTCAATCGCTAAGTCATGTCCAACTCTTCATAACTCCACGGATCACAGCATGCCAGCCCCCCTCCCTTCTCCTTCACTGTCTGGAAGATTTTGTGCAAATTCATGTTCATTGTATTGATGACCCTATCTAACTATCCCTTCTCCTTTTGCCTTCAACCTTTCCCACCATCAAGGGTTCCCCCCCCCCCCAAGTGAATCCTCTCTTCTCATTAGGTGGCCAAAGTATGTGAGCTCCAGCTTCAGTATCTGTCTTTCCAAAGGACAGTCGGGGTTAATTTCCTTTTAAGATGGTTAATGTTAGGTAGGTCTGTTAAAAAGTTCTAGCTTCTATTTCAACAGCCGTACCTTCTTATATGGAAAGAATCAGGCTGGAGGATTGGTGTGGGGAGCATACCCCCACCCGCCCCCCACACATCTGACCCACAGGACATAAGTGTCAATTTTGTCCACTGGAGTCAGGATTCAAGAAGCAACTGGTGATCCTTCCACCCGCCTTCTTATTCCACGCAACTGATAGGCCCAAATATCTCCATGCAAATGGTTTTAAACGCACCATTATTTAACGGTATCAAAATACAAGTGTGCAAAATTGACATGAAAATATTTACCAAAGCTAGCAAGCTATCTAATTCAATAGAAGCCATAACTTGGCATTTTGCCTTTCAATAGCCCGCCCTTATTCCTAGACAGATAAAAAAAAAGCCTGTATCTTGAAACAGGCGAGTGTATTAGCATTTAATCCTTAATTACACGGATAATTGCTATGTCAAGAAAGGGCATCTGAACAAGCTGGCAAGAAAGTAGCTAAGAAGTTTTGCTATTTGCATGCTGCCAGTTGTTGTTGTTTTCTCACTTGGATAAGATTTCTTTTTTTTTTTAATGTTTAAATTAAGTTTTTTATTCTTTGCCTGGAATCATCTAGGTGTGCGTTGTGGAACTCACACATAGGTGGCTATATAAATTTGTTTAATAGATCAAATTAATAAATGAGAATCTTTTTTCCTACCCGCCCCCTCTCCCCCATCAAAGCAGAGTTGGGGAAGGTAGAAGCCTGGACATTCCTACCTTCCCTGTCTAACCAACCCAATCATCACTGCATTTACAGGTTACATCGTGAGCTTCTCTTCATTTTTTTCAACTCGGGCTGGGAATCTTCTACAGCCCCTTCAGCCCAAAAGTTCCTTCCAAGTCTGCCTTCAACTAAGACAGGCTCGCCAACCGCTGCAAGATCACCAAAGTTTAAGCAACCAACCCAACAAGGATGCAAGTCCCGGGCAACGGCGCACGAATCCCAACCATCAAATTAAGGCCGCCTCTGTCTGAAAGGACCCGGCATAGGCGTTAGTGGAGTCCCTTCTCTTCCCCGACGAAGAGCTCTGAAGGACCCAAAAGCTTGCACATTTCCCCCCCCCCCCCCGCGCCAAATTCTCCCGCCGCCTCCAACCCTGGTCGGCTGATCTCGCGCTGCTTCCCAAAGTCTTTTCTTTCCAGGACTTTAAAGCTTTCCCTCCCTCTCAGGCCCCCGAGCCCAACAAGGCCTTCCCAGCGGACTCACATGATGCTCCCGAGCCCGGTCGCCTGCCTGCCTGCCTGCCCGCCCACCCAATGCGCCCCGGTTCCAGCCTTGCAAGATGCATCCAGCTCAGCATCAGCCCAAAAGCCGCCGGACGCCCTGCGTGGTCGTCCTGGGTCTGGGGCTGCTTTGGGGGACGGGAGCCTTTGCAGGGGGGCTTCCTTTGCCGGGGGCGAGCGCTCAGCACCTCCGCGAGGATCCAGGTAAGGCCGGGCGAGTTCCTCTTCCCCTTTTGCAGCTGCCTCCTCCGTGTCCTGCGCGCACTGCCCCCGGCAAACGGCGTCCTTTGGCAGTTGGGAGTGGTCGGTTCCCCTCTTGTGGACTCGTCTACTTGTGAGTAAGTTGTACTCGGTGGAGCCAGGTTGCTCTCCCGATAGGCCCTTGCCAGGCGCAGGAGTGGAATTAGGAGGGTGGCGGTTATAACAATGCATGCATTCTGGTTTCAATTCATGGGATCCCCTCAACCAGGAGCATTGATAAGGATACAAGAGGGTCTCAGGATTTGGTGACAAAATCAGAAAGGAGGAAGTGAGAAGCCGCCTGGGAAAGCCAAGGGAAATCATAAAAAAAAAAAGCGAAAGTTAAGAATATTTTGGAAACCGGATGCGACACCCAGAAAAATACGGCATGGTTCAGTTAATCCTCCAGGGATTTGAAGGCAAATGAAGATCCAGGCAGAAGAAGAACATCATGGCTTCAAAATTTAAGGGACTGATTTGGACAAAACTCAACAGCACTTTTTCGTGCGGCTGTTGATCAAAATAGGATTGCCAACATCCGATGACGGATATGGCACAAGAAGAAAAAGGTCTCAGGATTGTGACTTTCAGAGTTTGCATTCCAGAGTGTGCTTTGGAGCAGGGGTCACCAACCTTTTGGACCTCAGGGACCACCAAACCCATAATTTTAAACCCCACGGACCATTAATATGAATTTTGACTCACGGTGGCTTGCTGGCGTTTTCCCAGCAGAGACCCTGGGAAAATCCCCCAAAAAAGTCTGCAAGAAAATTCCCCACCCCGTTTTCCTACCGATCGATCATTCTTTATTTGGGATCGCAGGATACTGTCTCCAGCTCTGTTCTCATGGGGGAAAGAGAGAGAGAGACTTTTGGCTTCATGCAAGGAAAGCAGCAGTAGCAGCAAAAGTCTTTCTTTCTCTCCCCAAAACTCCGCCAGAAAGGAGTCTTTGCCGGCGCAGCCCCTTGGAGCAGGAGGCCTTGCAGGGTCCCAGAGACTCATTTCTGGCAGAGTTTGGAGGAGAGAAAGAAAGACTTTGGCTGCTTTCCTTGCGTGCATCCAAAAGCAGAAGAAGAAAGAAGCAGCCCAGTGTCCAGGTGAGGCTCCTGGGGCAAGTGGGGTAAGTTTCGCCCTTCCTCCCCTCACTACCTCATGTTGTTCACCATGTAAGCAATGCAAGCCTTGTGTTCCCACGGGCCATGTGGGTGGTGCAGCCTTGTGTTCCCGCGCAGCCTGGATTAATTGCTTTGGGGGGGGGTGCTTTGAGGATGACCTTTCTCTGTGGATCACCAAAATTTTCTCGTGGACCACTAGTGGTCCCTGGCGACCACTGCTTTGGAAGGTGTGTGTAGTCATTGCCAGCTTGGAAATCCTGTTGAAATAGAAAGGCTTGGTTTCTGCAGAAGAGAATCTACCTGGAAAAGTTGAGCCTTGTTTGGGGGTGTCGCGAAGGGCTTTTTTGTGTCTCCATACTTTCTGCTAATAGGTGAGGAATGATTAGAAAAAGGACCACACCTGTACAGGTGATGGGGTTAGTGGTGGTAGAGGTCCCAGCATCCTTTCTTGCCATGAGCAGAAAATATTTTGGGCATTGTCCCAAGGATGCTTTTTCAAAAGGCAACTGGACTTTCTAGGTGTTTTTTTCCCCTTGAAAACGTTTAGCTTCTCATCCAAGAAGCTTCTTCCGTTCTGCCTGAATTCTTCAGAACTAAAGAAGCTTCTTGGGTGAGAAGCGAAACATTTTCAAGGAAAAAACCCAAGAAGGTCCAGTTGCCTTTTGGAAAAGTGCCTTTGGGACAACCATGAACTGGAGGATTGAAAATCTCCATAGACATTTTGGAGAATTAGATGACAGTACTTCAGTAAGGATAAATACATTTGGGAAGAGCCATATGCTTTATTATTATTATTTTTATTTAAGCGATGTGTTTTTTAAAGCTACTTCTCCCAGAAAAGAAAGAGACCATCCTTGTCATTTCTGCCTTGCCCTCCAGTTCTTCAAAGTAAAAATACTGAGGCAGCCGAGATCTGCTTTTTATGAAATTAGGATTTCCTGATTTGCTTTACAGAAAACAAAAGCCAGTGTGTTCTCTCCCCATCGTCGGAATTCCCCGATGGGTTTTTCACACCGCAAGAACGAGCAGAAGGTGGCATCGTGATCTATTTCATCATCATTTTTTACATGTTCCTGGCAGTGGCCATAGTCTGTGATGACTACTTCCTCCCAGCGTTGGAGATGATCAGTCAGAGTAAGTCTCCCGTGGGCTATCTAATCCCCTTCCCAAAAACCGAATTGCCATTCCGAGACAATTCTGGGCACAAGGCAACTGCAGTTTAGGAAAAAAGTTACGTGGGTTTTTTGTGTGGCTTATTGTAGGAAAAAGGATCTGAAAGGCGGGAGCAAAGAATTCAAGGATTATCTCTTGGGCTTGATCAGTACTGAACAAAGAGCCTCCTTGGTAGAGTCAGAGCGCTGGGAGCATGCTCATCTCGTCAGCAGATAAAAAGGATTTGGGAAAGCAGCTATGAAATGCTTTCTGGACAAAGCCAAATTTCCAAGAATATTGGCAACAGCCACATAATGGGCCGAGCCATGACTAACTCCTTTTGTCAGGATTCTGGCAGTTACCCCAATTAAATCATGAGTCTCGAGCCAAACTTCCAAAACCTATCTATCTTATCTCTATCTATCATCTATCTGGCGATCATCTAGCTAGCTATCATCTATCAAATTAAATAAAGTATAATTATCATTTATGGCTATTTTTAGTCCTATTATATCAATACCTTGTACGTTGCTTGGAGCCATTGAACATTGAGGGGATATAAGAAGAAGTAAAATAAATAAATAGAGAAATGAAAATGTTGTTCCATGATTTTTACAATCCCTGATGTTTGCACGCCTCTTTTCTCTTGTCTCCATTGATCCTATAGCTCTTGGCCTCTCTCAAGATGTAGCAGGAGCAACCTTCATGGCAGCTGGCAGTTCCGCTCCTGAATTAGTCACCGCCTTTCTTGGTAAGCCACCCTTTAACCAGCACACAGTTGAGTCTTTGCAACAGCAAAAGTCAGTCCTATCAACCAATGCTTCATTTTTAGGTGTTTTTGTCACAAAGGGCGATATTGGGGTCAGCACTATTCTTGGCTCCGCCATCTACAATCTTCTCGGCATCTGTGCAGCCTGTGGACTCTTAGCTGGCATGGTATGTTCTCTTTTTTATGATTCCACCTTCCACTTAACTGCAAAGGGAAATTAATTTGGGGACAATTGACAGTACTTCCCAGGTAGGATGTTATCGATTGGGGATAACTGAAAAAGTTTAGTGTACTAAGTTACTGAGATCTTGGTACTTTTAGAAAGTTGATAGTGAGGAACATACATCCTACGAGTTGTATCCAATAATTTCCATATTGCAGATGGAAATATCTTAGGTTAAGTAGAATGAAGTTGCTTTACTGGGCTTATTGACATTTTAAAGGCATTCTCGGATGAAATTTGGAACATGTCAACCAAACCATGGCTGATGGTAGTCATGAAGATCAGTGGCTATTCATGGTGGTGGGACTGCCTCTGAAGGCCATCTGCTGAGAGATGGTGGGCTACCACGTGTACTTGATCCCTGGGAGAATGCACAATGGGACTAGATGGGTCAAGGTCCAATCCAACAGGGCACTTCTTATATTCTCAAAAGACCCATTTGTTACGGAGACTTGAAAAAGCTCGTGCACTCCAAACGTATTCAAAATGCTCATGCACTCCAAATGTATTGTATTCTCTAGGTTTCGCACCTGTCTTGCTGGCCATTGTTCAGAGATTGCTTGGCTTACATTATTAGTGCTGGGGCAGTTCTTGCCATGATTGTGGACAACCAAGTTTATTGGTAAGCATTCCCTGAAAATACCGCTCCCTCTTATTTTATTCAAGTGAAACAGCACAGAAAGAACTGGCTGCTCATATATGCACTGCAGATCTTTTAGACGACACATTTTTATCTTTAGGTTTGCTTTTCCACACTTAACTTTAAGGTGCATGGTTGGCTGGTTTAATGAGTAGATTGATTGGTTGCTTACACTTAAAGGCACACTTTAAATATTTGGAGAAGAGACGGTTCTGGGTTGCTACAGCGACTTGAGAAGCATATACATTTAATAATTGATTACTGCAAGGAAACGCTTTTCAAACATTATTTAGCCGCCTATGTTCGTTAGAGACAAACTGCTGGAATTCTTTGCTCTTTGAATGAGCAATCTGGCATGTGGAGTGAATATGAGCTCTAGATCATATGGACTGCCAGCTCCCAAGCAGGCTGCCTTCTACTATCAGCAAGTCACAATGCTATGCAGAGGTTGCCAGCTCCTTTATTCAGATATTTTAGCAAGAGAAGATATGGAGCCTTTGATTTTTCAGGCCACGCCTCTGCAGTTGAGGACTTGAATCATCATGAATGGTTTTTATGTGAGACGAATTCATTGCCACAAAGAATTATTCTCCAACCACAGATGCAACCTGTTATCTCTTGCATTTCGGTCACGCTGGTGGATCTTGGAGAGGTAGTGAAAATGCAGAGCAAATGTTCTAGTGAAATCTGCCCGTTTTTGATGCAGAATCTGATAGAGCCTGATACACTTTTGACTTCTTCTGGTCACCCGTATTTCAAGCATGAAGTCTGCAGTTGGAGCTAGGCAGACCTAGAAAATATCGTTCGATATAAAAGCATGTGTATTGCCATGAAAAAGCCCCAAATTTTAAGCCATACAATCTGCGGGAACAGCTGGAAAATAATTCATGTACCGAACTCAAGAACAATTGCTAGTGCAATGGGAAATGCAAGATACATTTGACTTGCTTCACGCAAGTCTTATCACAGTTGGTGATTGGACAAGCTGCAACTGGTTAGGTTTGCCTGCCAAAATGGGTGGTTTCACACAACCTGACATTGATGCAACGTTTTTACTTTGTCTTAGGTACGAATGTGCTTCACTCCTGTTGATATATGGACTCTATATTTTAGTACTCTGCTTTGACATTAAAATCAACCAATATTTCATGAGCAAATTTAGTCCTTGCTGCACCTGTTTCTTGATGATCACGGAAGAGGCCGAAGACCAGCCACTGTCAGGATGGAGGGACGAGACTCAACCTCTCGTTCGGCGACAATCAAGATCAGACAATGACATTTTTCACGAGTCTGATTACACTCAACTTTCAGCAAGCTTACATGGACCTGATACCATTTCTGAAGGTATTTTTTTTTTATCCAGAGCCTCTTTAAAAACTGTTGCAAGAACTACTAAGATGTATTTTTTGGAATCCTAACCCCCAAATTATGAGGCATGTAGTATTTTTTTTATTCTCCATATTTTTCAAATGCTGGAAGTAAAGTTGATACAAAGGTAACTAAACATCTAATAAGTATGTCAAGACTATGTCATTAATTTGCAAAAAGGTTGTGATTAAGTATACAACTCCCCAGTCCAACACATTGGCCCCTGGGATATCTATGGGGCAAGCCAAGGACAAAGTACCTAATTTTTGCTTTTTGTTATTTAATTTCTAAGATACAAGCTTCCAATTTTCAGATTTTTACATCTAGAGAAAAAAATTTAATGGAACTATAAAGCCCTATAATATATTTATAATAAAGGCAGCTTTGTAAAGAACTAAAATAGCTACATTATCAGGAAAACCGAGTATGTATTTTTAAACATCAGGATCTCATTTCTTTAAACGATTCTTTTCATCGGACAGATCCCCCAAGCGTGTTCACCGTGCCTGAAGCAGATCTGAAGAGAGTTCTGTGGGTGCTTGCCCTTCCCATCATCACTGTACTATATCTGACGATTCCAGACTGCAGAAAACCCTTTTGGAAAAAGTGCTTCATGCTTTCCTTCTTTATGTCGGCAGTGTGGATTTCTGCTTTTACATACATTCTTGTATGGATGGTGACCATAGTGGGTAGGTTTACAATGGGCTGGTTTTTATTAGCCTGCCTGCTCCAACCAACACGTTAATGGCATCTCAAAATACAAAGCTTGATTTCAGGTAATAGGTCTGCAGAGATCACATGTTAAGACTGCATATTAGAGTTGAAGAATGAATGCCCAATATTCACACGATACTGAGGGCTGTGTACCTATCTAGAGCAGCCAAGGGTATGTCTCTTTAAAAAAAATCACTTGAGGGTTGTGTCAAGCCAGTCTACGTGTCCCAAAATGTATGATCATTTTAAATGTGTAGCTCCTGGCTTAGGTAACCTACAACCTCCAGACTCCGAAAGGTTTTACCTGAGCATCTAATGCAAAACACTGCAGGGACAGACATCTGCTTACGGTAAAACCATTCTTAATACAAGGATGATGTAAAAGGAAACAAAACCTAGAACCCTCAGACTGATTAAGAGTATGCCCTATAAAAGAGCTAATATGGACAGGAAATTGTTTTACGCTAGTAAAGAAGAAACTGACTTGCCAAGTATCAGACCATGGCATATTTTGACTGTGTGTTCCTGATTAAGCCACAATGGCTGGGTTACTGAAATAAAAAAAAAAAACATTAAGGCTTAGAACAGTGCATGAATTGTGTTCTTCCAGCCCAGTGTTTGTCAAACTGACACTGTGACACTCTTTTCCACAATCCCCCATTTAATGTTTTCCCCTGTATGTTCAAGAGAAGGAACTAGAATCCTTCCCCATATCAGATGCCGTCGCACTGGGTTGCAGTCCCAACACTTGCCTGCAATTACATTATCTAGAAGAAACCTATCCAAGAACGTCAAAACCACGTTTAGATTGTTTCTCACTACGCAAGTGAAATAAATTCAAAACAAGTGTTGGACAATGAATCTAGATGTTTGCCTTTTTTTAAATTAAGCCGTTATTGGCTCTTATTTAAAGCTTAGGAAACACAAGTGAAAACTTGTGCCTCACATGAAAATATATTTTATAGCGGAAAAGACTGCATTTCACCACTATTCTACAAACCAAATGTCTCCCTTGCTTTTCATCTGAATTTAGTTCTTAAGAGCAAGGATTATTAGCAGGCTCCAGACCCCTCCTCCTATGAAAATGCATTTTTTTCCAAGAGTAGATTATTGAGAGAGGTTAGTGCCTCATGTGACTTCAATCAGCTCATGTGATAAAGATGCCAAAGTAACTGAAGGGATTAGGCTGGTTGTAGCTATTCCAAAGGGCTGCGTTGTCCAGAATAGCAGGCTTCTTTGGCATTTGAAGGAAAGGTTATATAGCTTTTCACAGTATTCATTGACCAAGTTTTTCAAAGCTAAATAGCTTCTTCTGTTCAACTCGTGCAGTTGAGGGGTTATCTGCTTTCAGAATAAAATTGTAGCTTAGTTCATTAGCTACCAGGTTGCTGTATTCTAGTCAGGTCATTTTGATTTTAAAATGCAATTCTCTTAAAATATTAGGTATGATTGCTTCCCAATTCATTCTCAAGGAAATGAGATATTTGCTTTTGGATTTTTCTGATTACAGGGGAAACCCTGCATATTCCTGAAACTATAATGGGCCTTACGCTACTAGCAGCTGGAACCAGCATTCCAGACACAATTGCCAGTGTTCTCGTGGCTAAAAGAGGTAAAATCCTTTGCATCTGTTAAGCTATCATGGCCAAGTTAGTAACCATGTGACAAAATGGGACCCCTTTTCCAGTTTTTGACATCTTTGACACCTACATTCGCTGAATTAATAAGCTGACTACATTCAGAAGTGCAAGTGGTTCTTCCAATTCTTTTACCTAATAATTACTGGGATGAGACCATTGCCTTTTGTCCTACTTGGAAAGTGAGTGATTCCCATTAAAATACTAATTTCACTCTATTTTGGATGAGCCTAGCGGTGTCACTCTTAACATTGATCTGAAGGTATTTTCAAACTTGTTAAGGCCACAGATGACAGTCCTGTGGACAAGATATAGCAAGTGTCTTTTAAACATAAAATTGGGTTGCTATCATCTCTTTCTGTGAGCTGGGCGGTCGTCTAGATTTGATTCATAACAAACAAATAAAATACCACAGCAAACTTCTTAAGATTGACATACTTAATATGTTCTGTCTTGCAGGGAAAGGAGATATGGCCATGGCGAACATTGTAGGATCCAATGTGTTTGATTTGTTGTGCTTGGGGTTACCTTGGTTTATAAAAACTGCCTTTGTTGACCCATCAGGCCCTGTGCTTGTGAACAGCAGCGGGTTGACCTATACTGCCATTTCTCTCATTTGTTCTATTGTTTTTATTTTTCTGGCCGTTCATCTGAATGGCTGGAAATTAGACAAAAAACTGGGAGCCATTTCCCTTCTGATGTACGTAGCCTTTGCCACGTTATCAATTCTGTATGAACTTGGAATCATAGGGAACAATCCAATAAAGAATTGTGGCAACTAATTCGTTTGGCTTTTGGTTTTGTATCAATTCGCCATCGTGTGGAATAAGGAATGGAAAGGGTCAATCTCTTCATTTCGCCAAGAAATAAAAAAAACACCAACATCTCCATGGGCAGTAAAACGTATTTAGAGAAAAATCTACATCATGACATTTTTTTAAAAAAAATCACGGTTAATGATGAATGCGATCAAGAATTAGCAACAACTACTAAAGCTTGTAAAACAAATGGATGGGAAGAGAAATGAAAAAACCCCAGGCTTTAAAATCGCAAGACAGGCAAAGCTGACAAAAAAACAAATTCCACTATACAGACTTTTATTAAACAGAGAAAATGGCTTGTTTTATTAAAAACAGTAGAACCATTCATTTAAACTGAATGACTAGAAACACTTAGCATGATTTTTAAAGAGGCACAAAACAGCCACAACTTCTGAATATAAGAGAAGGTGGGGCGGTTTAGGCCACTGAACAAGTCAGGAAAGTTTTCTCTTAAAAATCAAAATGTAATAAGAATTAACAAGTTCACACAGTATATTAAACACTATACTGTTAAAGGCTGAGGGGGCGGGGATGAGGGGCTGTTTTAAAAGTATTGTTTCTTCAACTCAAAGCAGACAGTGCTACTAAAAATGACTTACTGGGAGAGGAAAGAAAGGAAGGAGCTACAGGAAACTGTCTAAAGGAATGTTCCCCAACATGTACTTTATAAATTACGCAATGCGATCCAAACGTACGTCAATTTCTCTGCCACTGATTTTTATGCCGTTCATTATTCTACAGGCCTTTTCTGCCGATTCTGGTGAGTCAAATCGGACTGTTCCACAGCCTTTTGATTTTCCATTCTCCATTTTTATTTCTGCAAACATTACATGACCTGAAAAGTTAAAGCTCAGTTTAGCCAACTGTGTACAGCTAGAAGTAGAAATCCTATAATTACCATCAAAGGGGTTTTTAAAAATCAAGTTTACCCACTCTGGGAAAGCTAGAGTTATTCGAAGCAAAGGATTAAACCACACAGACAAGATTAAATTATCTAGCAGTTTCTGTTATGCCATAGTATGCAGTCACACTGAAGGATGTGCCAATGCTTAGGGCATCACCTCAAATCTTGCTCCATGCCACCTCCTCTAGCCCTCCCCCTCCCTCCTGATTCACTCCATGTTTCCTGCTCATCTTCCCTGCTTTCATCACTTCAAAGCAAATATTCTTGTTTCTACCGTTAGTTTGTTATGTAATTGATAACAGATCTTGGTTGTACGACTGGACTTTTTAAGTAAAATAGAACTGAAATAATCTAATGGCTCTTTTAATGTTTCGGTCACTGGACACCTATGGCTTTGCTGAAATAAATGTTAGAGTAATGTTAAATACTTTTGGATATTGTGAGCCAGAACTTAGGTATTGCTTATAAATAAAATAAAAACAATGTTGAAGAGGTCCTCTTGGGGCACTTTTAGCTGATCTAGTTAAGCCCCCATTCACATTAAGAAAGAAAAACAGAAGCCAGGTTTAAAAAAACAAAAAGCATAATGTCTAAAACTATATATAAATATCATCTTATGAAGAACAATGTGAAAAATCTTGCTTTTTATATTTTTAACCACAGAATTCAAAGAACATAGTGCTTTCCCCCTTTTTAAGATGAGAACATATTTTTCTAGTAAACATATTTAGATAAACATATTTAAAGCTATTCATTTATATATACCAAAACAAGTTTTAGCTACAGATTACAACATATTGAGAAAAGCAGACAGCTTTAATAAGTAAAGAAATAAATTGCATGTTAAAATCATTTTTCTCTTTATGCAAGTTTTCAAACGATACAAAAACCCTTGACCTTTTCAGGAAAAAATTAAGACATGCCCTACTCCCTTTAAAATTCAAAAACAGTCTTTTGTTCTGAACCTGACTTAATCATGAAACTAAATAAATTTTAACTTATCCATTGAACAGAATATAAAGATTATGCCCCCCCCCCGAAGAATTTGCCACCAGATGTCTGTATTTCATAAGAATGTCAAAAGCTAAATTGTTGCAATATTCAGATATTCAGAAAAAGGTTTATTTATCAAATATCAGTTTTTATCATGGCATCCAAGCACTAAGCTAAAATTTTAACCCTAATTAATTTATAAATAAGCCATAACAACATAATTTGCATATTACACTATAGAAAACAAAACAAAACCATGCTATAGATTAGCATTATCCATGAAACATATTTACAGTATTTGAAGTAGTAAAGATTATTGCAATGTAAATGTCTATGGGGATTCTCAGTTATCCAGGTCATGGTTGTCCCAAAGAGGCTTTTCAAGAGGCAACTGGACTTTCTGGTTTTCATTGAAGATGTTTAACTTCTCATCCAAGAATTTCTTCAGCTCTGACTGGATGGTGGGGAATGAAATCCCGAAAGTCCAGTTGCCTCTCGAAAAAGAATACTGCAATGTAACTAAACCCAGTCAAAGTCTGACTCAATAGTTTGAAAACCTGTTTGGGCAATCACATCTGGATCAGCGAACTATAATTTAGGGTACTATACTACCCCTCTGAAATCACAGTAATAAGTCCAGAGCCCGATCTCTGCAAATACATCTGTCACATAATTCGTGGCCTAAGAGGAAGCTTGTGTTGCCTAGTCTGTTCCTCAAATGGAAATACCAGAAAGGAACTCAAAGCTGCTCAGAAGGGACAGCTCTTTTCAAGCACGCACTTCAAGGGAACGTGACATCCCAAGGTGCCTGCATCCCATACTGCAGGTCAAGGCAGACGTCAAGAGGCTCCACGGAAGAGAGGAATGGGTCGGAAAGCCACCAACACAGACACTTCTTTGTGTCTTGTTAAGTCTGAGAGGCAGCCTTATTTGTGCCTAATACTTACCACACTGGCTGAATTTTTCCTTAAGCTTCTGCCAGGTCAAGTCAAAAGGAAGCTGAAATGAAGATAAGCATAGAGTAGTAACCTTCAGGAGAAAAAGCGGGAGAATTATGCTGCTCGTCAGTTTTTAATTCAGAGGCTTACATTTCTGACAAATATTTGGTTGCCTTTGGTGCCTACGCGGTCTCTCACACCACTTCCCATGGGGCCAGGCACAAATCCTCGGTCCATATCAAGGTTTCTCTCCAGCGCAGTCCCCATGGCGGGTCCCATCCGGTCAAAACTGGTGCTCATCCGATCCATGCCCATGCCCATGCCCATGCCACCGGTCATGCTGTTCATGCCACTGATTCCGCTACCTGCAAAGGCAGAGAAGAACAGAGAGAGGAAAAGTGAGCCTTTTAGAATCTCGGGTGGGGGGGAGGAATCAAGTGGAATCGGGGGTGTTTTTTTGCAAAGGCAGAGGCATTTCAGCAGAGGGAGCTACGTAGTTCTTGTCAATTGCACTGACTAATGAATAGTACTTCTCTCTGAGTTTTTTTTTTTTTTCTATTATTATTCAATGACGTCTGATTCTCGGAGACTTCCTGAACAAGTCCATGCAGTTTTCTGGACAAGGTTTTTCAGGAGTGGTTGCCATTACCTCCTTCCTAAGGGCGGAGAGAAACTGACTGGCTCAAAATCACCCAAGCTGGCTTTGTATCCATGACAGGACTAGAATTCATGGACTCCTGGCTTCTAACCTGCTGCCTTAACCATTACACCAAACTGGTTCTCTAGAGATGTCAGGCTGCACATAGAGATGCCAACTTTATCAATTCCATTCCGCCTTCCATTCAATCTTTCTAGTGAACTCTCAGTCATTTATGGCTGCAACAGTGGGCGGCCCAGGGAAATGGAAGTTGCCAAACACTGCAAAGGTTGAATCTCAACCCCATCTATTTTGAGGCTGATTCCCTTGGTCCATGATTAAGGCTAATTTCAGTTGTCAATGCCCTGTAGCGAGTGAAAGCCACGGCTTTGTAATAAACTCATTAAATCGTGCAGCAGTCCATTGATTCCAAAAAGAGGCTCCGTAGGATATTATTAGTTCAGTTACAGCAGCCTTCCAGATATTATAGTTATTCTGCAATTGGGGTCAGGCATCATGGCTTCACACACCATGGTAAACATGCATGCTATGATTTAGACTTCTCAGCCTGTGTGCCTGCTATTTGCTCAGTACAGGAAAGGACTGTATCTTAGTGAAACTGCACACCCTTCAGATGCAATCTCTAAGGTCCAGATGTAAAGGTCACAGGTTCAATCTCTAACATCTGCTTGGTTATAAAGCCAGCTTTGTTTGCTCTTATTATGAAAAAGCATTGGTTTTCCAAAAATAAGCATAATGATTCTCAAGAGAATGGAACTGTCAATACATAAAGCCCTCAAGGAATGGGAACTTCCAGCAGGGGTGAAAGCATACAATCACACTTGCAACGCAAAGCATTAATGCACACCCATTTCATTTATCAAACAGCCATGCATGACAACTCAGTGAATCTTCCTTTTACACATTTAAACCTCCCGTGTAATTTATATGCACCTGAAGTATCATACAGCTTGAATTGTCCCTACAATTTTCCTCAAATCCATTATTTCTATAGTTGTACTAGAAATACATGTCGCTTAAGCAGAAAAACTGGGTCACAAAAAGCTTGGTTTCTGAAATGCTCTAACATAGAGCTAAAAGCTAAACATAGAGCCAGACGCAAGATATATACAGATCTTAATAAACTTCAATTACAACTAAGCCCCATGATCTAGGAAATCCTATTTTTGTGGTGGGGGAGCAACAGCTGATTTTTTTTCCCCCTAGATCCACCTTAAATGTTAAGAAGCCTTTCTACAACTGGATTTATTCTTTGTTCAACCTACTCATTCCAGATCCTACTGGGCCCATATTAGAAGCTCCCATGCCTCCTGCAAAACCACCAACCATTGCACCACCTAAACGAGGATAGAAAAAAATGAAGTTACATAAATCCATTTCACTTTAAGCTGGGGAATTCTTCCAAACTTCTGTGGGGTTTTATAATCATCCACATACTTCTTCTGAGCATACTATTCAAATTGATCTA